ACTTTTCTCCTGTCAGGAAAATCTCAACATCCAGTTCTGTCTTAGGGCACTTGGAATGATCAGTTCAGCAGGTTTTACTTTCAAATAAGTAAGTAACAAGTAATACTGCAGCACAGTATTAAAGTAATTCAATTGCACAAGTTAAATATGCATAATGAAAACCAAATTATGAAATATACCATATATTTCGGTTTGGTTGCAGAATGGGTGGGGGAACCCTGCAGTTTCTGTAATAAATATGGATCTACAATTGTTTGGTACTGAATGAAGCAAACATGATACTAACTTAAATACATTTATTGCATTTTAAAGTGTAAACTTAAGAAACTTTTTTTTATCAAGGACAATTTTCTCCATCATACAACTGTACCAAATCCATTAGGAAGAGATGCATAAACTCTGCATCTTATATACTGGTGTATGTAGCATACACTTAATCCTCATTTCCCCGTTGTTTGAGCTGCTGTGTGTTTATGGACATACAGATGTATTAAGAAGGGGAAAGGCAAAGAGGGTGAAAGATCTGCTCAGGATTTGACATGATATGGCAAAAAGTTTCAATGAACATAAAGTTTTAAACAAAGATGAAAAGAAGCCAGATTACTTTCCAAGTGCTGCAAACAATTCAGAATATAGTTTTTATTTCAAATTCAACCTTCTATGTTCATGATTTTAGAAAGTGTGCAACAACAACCTGTAATGCAAGAACAGACTGTGGTTCCAGGATGTAAAAATATTTATTTACAGTGGGCCAAATCTAGTCATTACTCCCAACTAGAATAGACCCACTGAAGCAATTGTTGAATGGTAAGTCAACACTTCCACATGTCCCATTCAATTTAATTGAACTGATATATACTGTATACCAAACAGGCCCTAAAAGCAGTGAATGGTACAAGCAAATGTAAAAGCAGGGCAAAAAATCTGTAAGAATGAAACCAACACTTAAGTAAATATTTTAAAAAATTAAATGCTAGGCAAAAATGAGATTTATTTATTGTTTACTAAAAGTCAAGCAATATGTAAACCAGTCTAATCTGCATAGAATGGAGCTTCACACTTGAGGTGCTGCCACAGAAAAGGCCTTGTCCCATTTTACCACCAAACTTTCCTCACTTGGTGTATTTGTATGTATGCATGCCCATATACCCATATGTGAATGTGCACACATGCATGTGTGAAATGAAATCTATATGAATTGAGATATATAAGTTACCTTTCTTGATGTACTTCTGTGAAGTAAACACATTATTTGCTTTAAAACAGTATTAATTCAATGTCAGTATTTCTTCAGACCTTTTCTGTAATGCAGTATTACTTGTTATTTACTATGCTAGAGTTTGTAGAGGCAAAATAGAGATTATCCAGACAGCAGTTTCCCCCTGAAATATACCTGGTTTAGCAATGATGTTATCAGCATTCCATCCACATGATGCAAGGCTTTTCTTGGCAAATACATTGACAGACAGTGAATTTTTCCATTTTCTTTGGGGTTAGCCTTTTCAGCCTTCTTCAAGGGCTATATTACAGTATATTAAATAAAACAGAAAAAAACATTTATAATATCATTTTTTCTAGGAACAACATTTTAAGCTTTTCATACAATTAAATTAGTGTATCACAAACCTCTAATCAATAAATATATTTGCATAGAAATATAAATTATAATTTAACAATTCTAGCACAGCACATTCCATATTAAGAGTAAAACTTCTTTATATGTTATCATGAGGAAATCAAAATACATACTGTGAATGCTGCACTTTTGTTCACTATACTTAGAGAGACTTTTTGTTTATGATGTCTGAGTCCAACTGCTTTTGAATGAGTAATGTCAAGTTGTGAGAGAGGAACAACTTAGCCATTGTTAACTTGTACTATTGATTTTAGGGATGTGCACCAATATTTGGACTTGAAATTCAGATTCACAATTCAAAACCCTTCAGATTTGGAATTCAGAATTTCAAAAATTTGGAATGCCTGGATACAGTCAATATGAATACTATATAGTGATTGTTTCCCCTTTAAAAAAAAAAACTGCAAACAGCCAAGACATTTTTAAAGGATTTCATTGTGTCCTTTGATACCTTCCCAGTGACTGTGCCAAACAAAGCAACTGCACTCCAACAGCCAGCAGTGCCTAGATATTAGGAATTCTCCCTCTCTCTCTCTCTCTCTCTCTTTCTCTCTCTCTCTCCCTCTCTCTCTCTCTCTCTCTCTCTCTCTCTCTCACACACACACACACACACACACACACACACACACACCCTACACTGCTGCCTGCTGCTCTTAGTGTCAGTGCTGAACAAGGCACCTGGGTGACAGGTTTTGTTGTGGAGGGGCTCATAATAGCGGTTATAAGTTGCCTTTTCCCTCTCCCTGCAGCCTTCCCCAAGTTCCTATTTCTTCTACCACATCCCCATTTGATAGTGCCTACAGTCTCTGCCCAAAGTAGAGTAGTATCTGATTCTGTTATAGCAAAACACAAATCCTTCCAATGAAAATCATACATGCACACACAGAAACAAAATCTTTTAACTTAATATATCTATCTATATCTGAAAAAATCTCATTCCCCTACCTAATATACCTCAAAATCTAAGCCTAATAGATTTCCTTGTTGATTTATAACATATTAATCCGTGAATCTACTAATCCCAAATCTTATCCCTAATTATATTAATTAAACAATATAAAATGAACATAAATGTAAGTTGAGGGTTTAGAAAAGTATTTCATTTAACCTACACATTTTTACATATTTTTCCCAGTGACTTACATTTTATAGCCATTTGCCTTTTAGAATTTTGCACCTCATTTTGTGTGGATTTGTTTCTATGAGAATATGCAAATTCTCAAGGCAAGTGTCAGCAACTCAAGAGGAGAGAAAAGGCTACTTTTGTTAAGACTGTCCAATCCAACAAAACACTTTTTCATCACTGGTTAAGGTTCATATCTAAAACTGGATTTAAGTAATAATTAAAAAGAAAAGAAAAAAGATGGTCCAAAGCAGTACAGTGGTGCCTCACTTAACGGCGATAATCCATTCCAGGAAAATCGCCGTTAAACAAAAACATTGTAAAGCGAAAATAAAAACCCCATTGAAATGCATTGGAACCCATTCAATGCATTCCAGTGGGGTAAAAACTCACCGTCCAGCAAAGATCCTTCATACAGCGGCCATTTTTGCTGCCTGTATAACAAGGAATCCATCCCTAAACACAGCGGGGAGACATTTTAGTTACCCGGTGGCCATTTTGAAACTGCTATCAGCTGTTTAAAAATCATCGTTTTGCGAAGAATCAGTTCCCGAAGCAGGGAACCGAACATCGCAAAGTGAAATTCCCCCATTGAGATTGTCGTGAAGCAGATTCGTCGTAATGCAGGGCAATCGTAAAGCAAGGCACCACTGTAATTGAGCTCCATCTATGAATGACAAGCACCTGCACCTGCAAGACACCATTATTACAAAGCTCTGAATGCTTCAGATTAACACTGAGTGATAAGTCCTAAATGGTGAAAAAAGGGTTAATGTCAAAGTGTGAGCATGTGTAAATTCAGACCATGCACTGGCATAAAATCATTGAATAATGGAGTTGGAAGGGGCCTGTGAGGCCATCAAATCCAACTCCTTGCTCAATGCAGGAATACAAATCAAAGCGGATCTGACAGATGGCCATCCCACAGGGGAAAGGGATTGTCTGAAGAGGGCACCATCTGCCACATATGAAGCTCCTTCTCACCATGACAGATCCTGAACAGTCAGGTTTCAAATCATGTAGAGAAGCTCCATGTGTAGGCAACTCTTCCTTCATCAGACCCTTCTTTGGGTGGAGACATGTAAAAGACATTTCACCATGCTCACACTTTCCAGTCTTTTGAATGCCAGAAGAGGGCTATAGAGAACCAGAGTTCATAGATCAAGCTACAAAGTCTCAATTTAGTTATTTCTACAGTTACAAAGCATCAGAGTATATTTGTTTGAGATACTCCAGCAACCATACTGGAATACAGTGGCTAATGAGGCTGCAGCCGTGGGAATCTTGCTTGGAATCGAAGCTTCCTGCTTTAGAAAAACGATAAGGAATTTCCAAGGTCAAGCCTAATGGCCGGAAAACACCTTTTATTTTATTTTTCTAGTACACCTCTGCTCTTACGTATGATGGGGTTCGGGTAATGGCAGAAGCTTTTCAGAGTCTCAGGAAGCAGCGCATTGACATTTCCCGTCGTGGGAATGCTGGGGATTGCCTAGCCAATCCAGCTGTTCCTTGGGGACAAGGGATTGACATCCAGAGAGCTCTACAACAGGTCAGAAAACAAACCATGGTGTGCCACTGAAGCTTGTTTTTAATCAGTAGTTGTTACATATGTGTCATAAATGTCCGGTAATCCCTCTACGTTTGTAATATCACGTTGATGTTATTTATTTATTTATTTTATGGACCATAATCTGAGAGCTTCATGTTCAATGATTGCTGAGAATGAACACAGAATGTTTAGAATGACAATGAGTGTCCATGCTATCTTCATTGAAAGTCAAGGTTCAAACTGACTGAATCAGTTTGCTTAGGAAAGCAAAACTGAACACTAAAATTATATAAAATCCCACCAAAGGAGTGTGGGGAGAAATGCATTTTCTCTGAAGGCCTTGTTCACAAACTCACTTCCCAGGCTTTAGAAATACTTAATATGATTAGGTAACTACGTATACTTTTTATTACGTGCCATTGTTCTGACTTACAACAGACCTTTCTAGGCATTTCTAAGTACAGGATATTCAAAAGTAGTTTAGCATCCTTTTTTTCTGAGAACACTCTGGGACTCTGCAGCTTGTCCAAGGCCACACAAGCTGGCTCTTTTCCTGGGATGCAGGGCAGGGGGGGGATTGTCCAAGGCCACACAAGCTGGCTCTTTTCTTGGGATGCAGGGCAGGGGGGACTGAAGATTCTACAGCAAGATACCTAACACACTGAGCTATCTAGCCTAGGTAACTATACTCACCATTTAATCATCATCATCATCTTGGAACTGCAGAGCTTGAACCTAACACACTGAGCTATCTAGCCTAGGTCATCATCTTGGAACTGCAGAACTTGACAGTCCCTGTCGAGGAGCCACAATGGGGAACCAAACTCCCAACCTTGGGTCCACAGCTAGGTACCTAAACCACTGAGCAATCCAGCAGTTCTTTCATACATGTGGATACACTAGCGGTGTCAAATTCACACAGTTGGCAAATAATGCAGTCTTCTCTGGGTTGTTCCAGTGCTGACTGCTAATATGTGTACCAGGGAAGAGTTTAAAATTTGAATGCTTTCTGTAAATAAAAGCTATTATGTCAAAGATACATCTAGATAAAGTTCCTTCTTTGGCTTTCTAGTTTTCTAGTGTTCTTTGCACTACACCTAGAAAATCAAGTAGCTCAGTTATTTTTTATTATTCAGACATATTAAGGAGAATTGTGCAATGCATCAGGTTCAAAGGGTGAGAAGTCTTCAGTAAAACCTTTCACTAGATGTGCCCTCCAAATGTGTTTGACTACAACTATCATCACCTCCCACTAGCATGTCCATGCAATTATCATATGATTGCAGGTTGATGGGAGTTGTGTTAATAGGCCTGCTTGGGAAAATCGCTTTATGAACATGCTTTCTGATGAAACTCAGAGACAGCTTTGTTAGAGCAAATGTAATGATTCTACCTCTCTATTTAGTGCAGGAAAATCTTGATGTATGAATAATAGGATTTGATTCTGTTTGACAACTTTGAATAGAGACAAAATATTAAATTCTTGAACAAAACAGGGTCTTGTAACTGATTCCTATACCATTCGTTCTGAAGGTGCGCTTTGAAGGACTAACTGGCAACGTCCAGTTTAATGAGAAAGGACATCGGACCAATTATACCCTTCATGTGATTGAAATGAAAGCTGATGGGATCAGAAAGGTAAAGGTTTACTTTATTTTTTAAAAGAGAAGGATGAAATCTGAGAATTGTGCCTTGTTTTTGGGACCATGTTTTCTCAGAAATTAGTTTTTGCTGTGACTTATTAATGTGTATGTAAACTAGGCAAGGGCAATTATATTTCTTATCTTTGTCAACAACACATTTTATCCATAATTCCATTCTGTTTGACTTCTGCACTAATTTGTGATGTTTTAATGCATATATTTTATGCATTTAAATATATGAAAATTCATATTCTCTTCTGTATTTTTAAATGCTTAAACTAATAAGACTAGTTCCACAACATCCAGAGAACTGTAGGATCTGGTGGACAGCTTATTTCCAATCCATACTTTGTTTTTGAGGGAACAGAGCAGGCTAAATCCATCCATCCATCCTTCCATCCTTCCTTCCTTCTTAGCTACATTGATAACATGCCTTTCCTCCAATAAAATTAAGGATGGAGGCTATGGCACTCTTCCTTTCCATTTTATGTTCATAACAGTCCTGTGAGATGGATCAGGCTGATAGACAGTGATTGACCCAACGTGAGTGAGTTCCATGGTTCAGAGAAGACTGGAACCTGAACTTCCCATTCCAACAAGTTGACCATTATCCCATGCTACCTGTCAACCAATACTTAGACTTAGTGATGTTAATCCTCAGTTTTTCTTGCATGAGTGGAAGAGGAATTGCAAAATTATTCTTCTCACTCTGTAAGAAGACAGGGTCTGTTTCTGTGCTCTTGACAGAAAAGGGAATGAGAAGGAAATTGGTACAAATGAAGCACAGCTACACAAAATAACTCTTTGATGCAAATAACTGGTTTTTATGCAACTAATACAACTTACTCAAAATGAGGATGCCTGCTGCTTTGTTGCATTGTCTTTTAAAGATTAGAGGCATCACAGGGATAAGTTACATGTCTTTAAAACAGCTCTGTGCCTGCTGCATGTTTGTGTTCTACTTCTGAGAGGAAAAGAAAACCAGTTGTACTCAGGGATACTTTGCATATTATGGAGATTTTGACAAGGGAAAAAGCCAGCTACCCTAATCCCATTCTTTCCTGGTGGCAGGGAATCATTCCCAGTTTGAAAATTCCTTGTTGAGGTGTTTCATCCAGTTGAGACAACCTAGACTGACAAGAACAACACATTTAGCAAGTGGGAGCCTGGACATACCTGAGCATACCATTTTACTGCCATGGCAACAGATCCCACATTTGATGGTGAGCGGAGGAGGCTGGGGGCTGCCATGACAGACCCATGAGGTTCATCAGGGCCTGAGGTCTCTGGGCAGGTGGCTGCAGCCAGTCCCCTCTTGCCATGGAGTTCCCCTCCCAAGCCTCACATTGACCAGCCAGGGAATCCACATTGAAGACTGTGGGGCAGGTGGACTGGAGTGAAGAGGTTTCCACCCCAGTCTACCCATCCAGCATTAAATCAGGTGAAGCAGCCACCTCCAAGCCAGTCTCCTTCTTGGTGTGTCACTGCTGAAAAATATGAGAAGAGTGTATTGTAAATTATAACTGACAGTTTCAATACCCTGCCCACGTAGGCAGCTTCCTCAAAACTGCTCAGTTCATGAGCCTCCTACAACCTGTCACAAGTGTCTACAGACAGACAAGGATAGAGGGTTAAATCCGATTGTTAGTCTCAACTGAGGTGCATCCATTGAATTAATTGGAACATATTAATCTTGTAATGTCTAGAGCATGTGTAGCAAGTTATGAAACTCAAAGCTTCTTTAGAAAGTACTATTGACTTCAAGAGTTTAAATGTCTCCTTTAAAGAAGTGACACAAATAAATAGGCTGTTTGCAAAATATGTCATGATTTGGCTGTTGTACACCTAATACGTAAAAATATTTTTGAGTGAACACACTCAACCTTAAGAGGATGATTTGGTTTTTATTTTTTCCAATATTTTCCAATAACTACTCTCACTACTGTAATAATAAATCTCAGATTTTGGAAACTTGCATTATGTTCTCTTTATCAGATAGGTTATTGGAATGAAGATGAAGATTTTGTTCCAACAGTCACAGATCAACCAGGTTCAAATGAAAGCACAAGTTTCCAGAACAGGACCTACATTGTTACAACCATTCTAGTAAGTGCTGCAGTGTTCAGAATGTCCTCTGACTGCAACAACCCCTTCCTTGTTCTACACTCTTCTTTCCATAAGTCTTCCTACTGTTGCTCCTATTATGTGGAAATTAACAGCATCAGTGTTCAGTATTTAAACTACTAGCAACCAAAAATTTGCCACATCCTTTTAAAAATCAGGTTCTCCATGTGAATAGAATGAAAGTTATACCCAGTAAGTTCTTAGATATCTGTATTAAACTGCTGAAAGAGAATTTCTGACAAAAAAAAACATACTAAGCATTGGTTCCCTTTAAATTCTTGAAACATTTTATAAATGGAGTTGTCTGTTTTCTCCTATCCTTGCTCCTGTGCTTTCAATGGAACGATTACTGTCACACAATGGGAAGCACACTTCCAAACATCTGAGACATGGAGCTGTGACTTGTTCTGTTTCTTCCAGGAAGCTCCGTATGTGATGAATAAGAAGAGCAATGAGAAGTTGGAAGGCAACCAGAGGTACGAAGGATACTGCGTAGAACTGGCTGCTGAGATTGCAAAACATGTCGGCTACAACTATAGCTTGCAGATTGTTAAAGACGGAAAGTATGGAGCCCAAGATCCTGAGACTAAATTGTGGAATGGCATGGTTGGAGAGCTAGTATATGGAGTAAGTGGCTTGGTTTGATCCAGTGACTTGAAAATGGTATCTGAGAATGTTGAAAGAACATCTCAAATGTATAATTCAACAGCAATGTGCTAGAGATTTCAGACCAGTTTCCCTCAAGTCATTCGCTGTTTGTGTCCTAATCATAATTCACTAATAATGGCAAGACAAATATTAAAATCTGGGCGAGTCGGTGGATTGTACCTTTAATGATACTGTGCAGCTGACAGACAGCCACTCAAGTTGAACCATTTTAACTTGTCTGTGGTGATCATTTTTTAGTAGCAGAGCATTTCCTTCTGGAAATAAATAGCTGGGCATTGTGCCAATAAGCCATTCCCCTATTTCAGTTTTGTAGTACAATATTATTCAACTGGCTGCCTGGGTAGCTTGATGAGTTAGGTATCTAAGCTGAGAGTACAAATCCCTGCTGTGCCTCCCAAAAAGAGAGCAAGGCTGTGTGGTCGTGGGCAAGGCGCCCTCAGAAGAAAGGAACAGTAAACCACTTCTGAGTACTCTCTACCAAGAAAACCATGGAAGGGGTCACTATAAGTTGGAATCAAGTTGTTGGCACACAATTACTATTATGCCATTGAACAGTGGTGTCTGTGGTCCTACGTTGCAGCACCAGTTGAAGAATTATAGAGTAGAGCCACTATCCTATTGCTAGCCCCTGTTCACTGAAACTATTGCTGAAAAGAAAGGCAATAGTTACTGTAAATCCCACTGAGTCAATGGGCCTACCTCAGTTGGGCCTTCCTATAGAATACCAGCCAAGTTCTGTGAATAAAAGAGAAATACTGCTTGTTATTAGTAGGGGGGGAACCACCAGAGAGCCACCGGGGTTTCTCATTCCCATTGTGATTGTGCCTTCTAAATCTCAGATAACTAGCCATCACCTTCTTTTGTGCTAGGCAATCACCTTTATATTTCAAGGGCTGAAATGTTGTCCCTTATTGTCCTCAGGCAGCAGCAATGCTTTGTAATTAAAAACTTCATCCTCCCATCCTGCAGTTCCCAGAACTTCCATGCAATCAAAGGCATTATATGGGAGCCAAAAAACCCATGGAACATAAGTAGGACATTTTTACGAAAAATTGTCTCTGGCAATCATCACCCTTCCACAGGCATAGTTATGCCTACAAGATTTTAGCCACCACGTCTCAAATGAATTTTTATTTAATTCTTTACAGAACTGGACAAAATTTACAGGGATAGCTGGGTTCCTTCTGGGTGGCTGAGACTCTCAGGTGACTAAGGATATAACGTATTGTACAAGCTCAGCATTTTTGCTTTGGTGCACTTTTCCTTTCCCTACCATTTTTTTTTTTTTATGGATGGTGGTTATTAAAATAGCATACAACCTTCTTGAAACTTCAGAATCTGAGAAATCTTTCCAACTTTGAGGCCAGAAAATAACAGCCTGAGGCCAACACTTGCATCTAAGCACAAGGCTCTCTGGCAACAGATAAATAACTAATTTATTAACTCCATATCCTCTCTTTTATTTTTTTTTTAATTTCATTTATTTAGTGACATTCCTTTGCTTTGTCCCCTACCTTTTCAGATACAGTAGATACTTGTAAGCAAGTGTTTTTGACTTACACATTTTAACAGAGTTTTTGGTGTTTTGTAGTGTTTGGTTTGTTTTGGTTTTTTAGTTAGTTTGTTTGCTTTTTGCTAATAAATATATTTTCTATGTATATACAAATGGACTAAATATATTTATAATTGTTTATGTAACTTTTTCAGAAATCCTACTCCAGCCCCACTTACATCTTTGTAGAGAAGTAGCTATTAATTTTTTGTAAGCAGTTACTCAATTTCTCTTAAAATATCTCTCTCATTTGAAACATAAGAATTTCCATTGATCTCCAATAAGAGCTACAATAATATGTCACATTTTTTTCTCAAGTGAAGGTGTGCTCTTTGCTGGGCAAAAGGACATTGCACTTTGAGCCTCTATATCAACAAATGCATCCACTGTACCTTTTACATAAGAATAATTGATCAACATTTTGTGTTTAATGTATACAGAACAATTGTTATACATTCATGACTGTACAAGAGATCAACAGTCTGTGTATGCGTAGACACAGGCTGAACACATGTTGAATGTAACAAAGGAACAGCTTTTTAGAAAGACTTTAACACTCAGTGTTTTTCAAGCAGCTACTAAATGGAAGAAGAATTTATGCCATTTTAGGAAGGATTGTAAGGATCTTACAAGTGGTCGTTCTGATCAGATAGGCGGGGTACAAATAAAATGAATGAACGAACGAATGAACGAACGAACGAACAAATAAATAAATAAATAAATTACTGAGACTTTTACTCTTCAACCGTCAAGTGACAATCACAATTTGGTTTCAGAGGACTTTTAAAAATTTAATCCTCTGTTTAATATTTAATCTCCAGCTTCAAGTTTATCTACAGATTCTGTTGTTTCTTTCCACTTCTGCTCTGTGCTACCGCATAAGCCTATGGGTTTCACCTAGGGTGGAAAACAGATATCTTGTTCACAACCAAGCTAGTATTTTCAGAGACAGAGAGTCACCATTTCCTCACAATGCCAGTATGCACTGCTTGGTGGAAATCTGACAGTACCATTCACTGTAAATTCTTCATACTGACATTGAGTTTCACTGCAGACCTCATGGCTACAACATCTGCTTGATTGCTGCTGAACCTATGAATGAGTGATCTCCAAAATGCCCTGTCCTCAACAGCCCTGCTTAGCTCTTGTAAGTTCAAAGTTGTGGATTCCTTTATGGGATCATAAAGTCAAGTCTGCTTCCCTAAAAGATGTGCCATGTGTTCAGGAATGGTGTTGTACAATATCACAAAATGTGCTTACTTACAGCTACCCACCATGCACCCACATGTTGCCTTGGTCCAAATACAGATAGGGTGAATGGAATACTTGGAACCAACCAAGATGCCACAACTCTTCTTGTTCCTGTACTGTTATTTGAAGCATCTGAGCTGTATTGTATTGTTAGACAAATTTTCTCTCTACTTGAAACCTTTGGTAGCAAATTCATGATATCTTCTAGGGATGATGCACTGTACATTTTCAACCCCTCTCTCTAATACTATTTCTCTCTCTCTCTCTCTCTCTCTCTCTCTCTCTCTCTTTCTCTCTCTCTCTTCTCCCACCGCCCCTTCTTCCTTTGCAGAGAGCTGATGTGGCTGTGGCACCATTAACCATCACTCTAGTGCGAGAGCAAGTTATAGACTTTTCCAAGCCATTTATGAGTCTAGGCATATCAATTATGATTAAAAAACCACAGAAATCCAAGCCTGGGGTCTTTTCTTTCCTGGATCCCTTGGCTTATGAGATTTGGATGTGTATAGTCTTTGCCTACATTGGAGTAAGTGTTGTCCTCTTTCTGGTCAGTCGCTTCAGCCCCTATGAGTGGCATAATGAGGAGCTTGAGGAAGGACGAGAGCAGCCAGCCAATGGCCAAACAAATGAATTTGGGATCTTTAACAGTCTTTGGTTCTCCTTAGGAGCTTTTATGCAACAAGGATGTGATATATCTCCAAGGTAAGAAATTTTCTTTAAATATGTACTCATTGTGGGAATGAGGAAGGATGAAGTGTCTCACTACATGTTCATGGGATATTTCTGCTCCTTTGTATTTTTCACCTTCAGTATAACATATGAAGCCCATTATGTGTGAATACTTCTAAGCAGGATACATTGGCCTGATGCCTCTGGAAAGTGCATGAACTGGAGTGCATCCAAATATAATTCAAGTACAGAAGAGACACTTCTCAGGATTCTGTAAATGATGTTTGCAACTAAAGTTCCTGATTAATGTTGATCTATTCATATATCATGGCCTTCTTCAGGAGGTTAAAGAGAACAGGCATATTAGTCTCTGGCAAGCTATGAAAGATAATTTTTTAGAAAAAAAATGGCTGCAAATGTTTCCCATTAACTCACTGAAGAAAGCCATAAGCAGAAATGTATCAGGCATGTTAACACCAAACTTTGTTTTACTGCCTCTTGAGAGGTCTCTCTCCTCTACTTGAGTTGATGCCTTAAAAGCTTGCATTAATGGGCCTTCAGAAGGAAATTTTGCTCTGCAAACACTGTCTGTGTTTCTCTCGGATACTGCTTTTCTGACCATAAGCAGAACTATAGCAGTTGGATTATGCTTCTTGGTTTCTAAGTATTCTTTGGAATACCCAAGCTAGGACAGTGAATGGTATGATAATGATTTCTATGGCATAAAAACACATATATTCTTCATTTTGTTCATACAGTAGTTTAATATAGAATCCAGAAGAACAGGTACATTTGTTTTTTCTTTTGTGCTTCTCCTTGAGACATTGGTTGGAGTATCTGGGGAGTGGTGGTAGCGGGAATAAATATTGTAAAAGTTATGCAGAAGAACTATTTAAATCAGCTTACCTGAAAGTCAGACAGGACCTTGCGCTAAGGACAATATAGTCTAAGAAACAGTGAAAGACAAAGGACAAACGGTATAGGAAGGAATGTGCTATTGTTTTCTATACACCTACATTGATTTCCTTACAAGAAGTGATGAGAATCAGGGTTTAGTTGGCCTTTAGGGGGGAAAGTGTTTTGGGGATAAAGGAAAGCAGTCTCATGGAAGCATTTTGGGGCTTCCCAAGGTAAGGCGGGGTCATATGTTTTCCTCTGATGCTTAGTGGGAATCCATTTACTCAGTGCAGATGGAAATAAAGTGTATGTGTTTTGGAAGTCAGGATAAAGACTGGAGAGACTAAATGAGGAAATTACACCACTGCATATTGAAACATTCGCAGTCAGACTCTGTCCATATGGCCTGGTTTGGAGCTGTTTGTTTTCTGCTAGGCAATTTACTCACGAAAGGCCAGGCAGTACAGAAACAAAGACCTTGGAGACACTTGGACAGCTGTACCCTTTCTGATACTAATGGACTTTAAAAGGTCATTGTCTGATTACTGATTCTGAGATATCTAATATCTTGTGCTCATTAAAGTTCTTGTTAGGAAAAAGGCCTGCCAGAGAGAAAGGGAAGAAGAAAATAAGCCTCTCCAGTCCTTCTTATCATAGCCACATGTGTTGGGATTAGATTATTATACCTGATAGTTGGAAATGAACTTTTTATCAGTGTATCATAGCTGGCAGTTTGTAAAGTGGTGATGGAACAATTTGAATATACTAAATGGCTGACCTAAAATGATCTAAACTTCACCACAGGGCTTTGATAACTCTCCACAGTATTCATCAAATTAAATGTCATTTATTTGCTGTGAAGTGCAATACATGTCAATCTCATTATGTGATTGCTTTTAACATTTTGTGGCTAACAGTTTTTACATTTTGAGACTAGAAATATATTACGTATATCTGCAAAGTTTTTGTACAGTTATTTTTCTATCATTTGATATTATCCCAACCTATTTTTGATGTTTACTAATATATATTTTATAATAATATAATTTGCCTTGATTGTTGGAATCAACTTATTTTTGTGTTTCCCTCAGGGCTAAACTCCATTATATTCAGTATGACTTACTCTTAGCTAAGTTTGTGTGTGTGTGTGTGTTTGCAATTAATGTGGTTTTTGTTGATCACAGCCTCATAGCATATTCCTACAAACTTCCAAATAAGCCCTTATGAGAACAATGTGACTTATTTCTGAATCTGACAACAATATGGTTGCACTGCTAATCATGTTACCAAGATGTTTTATGTTCATAACAGTAAAGAGTACATGTAGTAAAATGTTGGCCTATAAACTTCAGTTGATCAGATAAATAGCTCAATCAATTAAAATATTGATTAAAATTTGGCATGAAATGCAATTGGTAGACTGAATCATAGAGGTAGACTAATTTATTTCTTTAAGTCATTTTAGTTCTGATGTATTATTGTAATAGTAAATTTAAAGAAAAATCTGAAAGAAGGTTTGTATCAGTAGCTCTATTTGTCCTATATAAGAAATAGCTCATGCTTACTTTATTATATTAGCTATACTGAAATGTTTCTAGTATATAATTTTAATTACACGTATTAACTATATGTCAGAAAATCATATTACATTGGCTGATATGCAAGCGTAGTTACAATTAATTAATTAATTAATTAATGGAAATAAAGATGATTAATCAATAGAAATCTTTACTAGAAAGAAGTCTTTACTACTGAAGAATTACTTTGTAATTTGAAAATACAAAGTAATAGGGATAAAGACAAATAGGTTCAACTTTAAATGTTTTAACCTTCTTTATCTCTCTTGATCAAGGATAAGAATACATAATAAATAAAACAGCCATGCAGCAACACTTCTTAAAGATGCTGAGGTTTGGCTTCTGTGAATAAACTGGGATACAACTCTCAAATAGGAAAATATGACTTGCATTTTGATATAACAGCAGACTAATTTCCCATGCTTTGTATGTAGCAATAAGAACATGCATTGCATTCATATAAAGCCCAAAGTCTGAGCCAAAGGAGGTCCTTTCCCTCCAGTTTTGTGCTTTCCAGGAAAGAGCAGGCTACCCTCTGAAGCTTCAAAAACCAAAGCTGGATCATGGATAACAACTTATTAGCCACTTGAGGTTCATGAACAAGGTGTTGGGGGTGCCAACAAAAAAGTAGGTTTTATTTTAGTGAACACACCCAGAATGAAGGTGAAGAGGTAGGGAGGGAACAACAGCCTTGCTGATGTGATGGGGGTCAGGTAATACACTTCAAAAAAGAGAGAGAGAGAGAGAGAGCTGCTGTTGTATGTTGGTTTAAAATTTGGTAGCCTGCTTTCTGTGAGCTATCCCTGCACATTTCTTCCAGTTCTAGCAAGAAGGAAAAGAAACTCATTGGTATTTTCCTTTAAGGAATATAAACCAGCTTTAAAAATGTATCACACCAAAATCTCCAGCACCCTCTTTGCCTGAAATTGGGTACTATTATGCTCCCACACGAACCTTTGGATTTCTGAATCTTGGCTGGGGTTCTGGGCATGAGCTGAATTGAAAAGTTTCAAAACCGGCCAAAGCCAAAGCAGGCTGGTTTTTTTGAACAACCAAATTGTGAGTCCAATGAGCTGGTGGTCTTTGCTTTGCTTCACGTATTCAGCATCCCTTCGCATGGTAGATGAGTGGGCATGAATTTCATTATTTCATTATTTATTTCATTATTTATTTCATCATTCATTCATTCATTCATTCATTCATTCATTCAGCATAGGCATCCTTCAGTCTCGAGAGACTATGGTAACATGCTCTGAATCGAGGAGTGTCCTCTCCAGAGCATGAAGCCCGGGTAAGGTAATATGGAGGATAGGCTGTTACCCAAGCAGCAGATCCCCCCTCTCCACATTGCTGAAATGGTCCAATGGAAAGGCAAGAGCCAATACAACTGGTTCCAGCGATGTCGCAGGAGTTGGCAGAACGACACGAACTGCCTTCGGGACTCCAGTTCCGGATTTTGCCTCGAGGTTAACTCCTGAAGCCTTTTCCATGAGTGGATATAGCCACAAGGCAGTGGAGGTTTGAAATCGGAGTTTTCATTCATTCATTCATTCATTCATTCATTCATTCATTCATTCATTCATTCATTCATTCATTCATTCATTCATTCATTCATTCATTCATTCATTCATTCACTTACTTACTTACTTACTTACTTACTTACTTACTTACTTACTTACTTACTTACTTACTTACTTACTTACTTACTTACTTACTTACTTACTTACTTACTTTGTATACCACCCAGCTCAATGACAAACACTACTTTGGGCAGTTCACAATCATAAAATAACCTTCCCATCCAAACCACTAAACCCAAGTAAACTTCATAATTACCCTCCAAATTAAACTGATCCAGAGTAAAACATAGAAACACAAATGGCAATCAAGATGACAGCATGCCTTAATTAGTTCAGGGATGTAATATCTCTGAAACCTTCTTCAAAAAGTCTGGTTTCTAACATTTTCTTAAAGGCTGAGACGAAGGAGGCTTGCCAGACCTCTACCGGAAGCCCATTCCAAAGAGATGGGGCCACTACTGAGAACGCTTTGTTCTTTGTGGAAACTTTCTTTGCCTTCCATGGTGTGGCCAGCCATAAGAGACCAGCCTGGATGGAACAGGTAGCATGGCCTGATCTTCTTCGGGAAAGGCGTTCTGACAGATATTGAAGTCCCAAACCATTAGAGGCTTTGTATGTTAAAAACAGCACATTGAATCTGACTTGGAAATGCACAGGAAGCCAGTGCAACTGACTCAGCATTATGGGAAAATGATCAAACATAGCAACCCCAGTGATTAACCTGACTGCCACATTTTAGATGTGTTGTAGTCTCTGAGTCAGCTTCAAGGGAATGCCCATGTAGACAGCATTGTAATACAGTGGGGTCTTGACTTGAGAACTTAATCCGTATTGGAAGGCGGTTCTCAAGTCAAAAAGTTCGCAGGTCAAATCTGCATTTCCCATAGGAATGCATTGAAAACCATTTGATCCGTATCTGCTCTTTTCTGTCCATAGAAACTAATGGGAAGCTGCTATTCCGCCTTCGACCACTAGAGGG